TCAGGATGTGCCAGTTTTGGGGACTCTTCATCAAAAGTTAGAGCTCTGTTTTGGGCTATATCTCCCACCTCAGGTTATGTTAGCATTTTGTTGGCTAAATCTCTTGATGCCTGTCAGCAGCACATGCACATCTTTGGTTTGTAGCAGCCCCAGGTTTGATTCGGGTAGAACGGAGCTGCCATGCATATAGATGAAGGCATTAACTGTAGGCTGGTGTAGCACCGAATGAGACATGGAGGGAGAGGCTGAATGTTACTGAATCTCGTGTGAAACTTGGGTATGCATGTTTGCTGATGTTGTAAGGGACCTCAGCTTTTGTTTAACAGCCACAGTGGGACAGATCAAAGTTCTGTACCTGTTGGCAGCAATAGCCAGGAGTAGGTGGCCCGAGTAATTAGCAGGCCTTGATAGTCTTCCAACCTTTAGTAGTTCTCAGTTCTGAGCCAAATGTGCCTCTACCGATACAGTAACCCTCGGTGGACCACTTCTGTAAGAGCTGAGTGTGTCTCCTTTGGAGCCCCTGTGAGCTTTTTGGCAGTCTGTTAGTGGTTCCATCAGATTAGCACTTTCGTGTGAAGAGTGCCTTCCTCTGGTTTACATTTGCCTTTTAATTCTTGTGTTGCAAAAGAGTGGGAATAGGTGCCTCCTGTCTTCATGTTACTAATTTTTCCAGACATCTATCACGTACCCCTGCTGCCCATGAAGATTGCTGGTCTTCCCCAGCTAGCAGTGATTATTTACCTTTACTCATCCTTGTTCTCTCAACCTTTCCAGCTCTGCTGTGACCCTTCCTGAGCTGAGCAGATCAGAACTGAACAGTAGTTAAGATGGAGGCAAACTGTATTTGTACTTCGATGTGGTGTTCCCTTTTCCTTTCCTGATACTTTTTAACATTCCATATGCTTTTTGACTGCTGCTGTTTTCATAACCCCGATATCTTGCTCCTGATACATGAGCTTAAAACATATTTTTATATCTGAAGGCAGGATTATTTTTCCTACTTGGCTCACTTTGAATGGCAGATGCATTCAATAGTATTACTGCTTGAAATAATTCAGCATTTCCTTCCTCTTTTTTAAATTTTTTCTCTTATCCCTTAACTACATGGCAGAACTTTTGTCATCATCAAACTTTGTCACCTCACCACTCTGCCAATTCTTCAGCTACTTTGTGAGCATAAACTGCATAAACATGCAGTTTAAAGAGGCTCCAAACTGTACAGAGATTCAAATTAATAGTTTAATTTCTTTGTTTCAGATTGGAAGTACAGTTCTGGCTTCGTCACTGCAGACATGATTAAAACCCACCTCCCTTCCCCCGGCAGTGAGACACTCATTCTCATGTGTGGGCCGCCACCTATGATTCAGTTTGCCTGTCAGCCCAACCTGGACACACTTGGCTATCCCAAGAGCAGTACATTTTCGTATTAACCCTGATGCCATCCGATACCTTTTCGTAAGTAATTATCGCCTATTTTCCTACAGGAACAACTGGTAGTAACTCTGCAGTATTTTTGTGTGTTTTTTAACGACTTAATGTAATTTCTGTGGTTTATAGCTTCCTACTTGCCTTTTTGTGTTTTAATACTAAGAAACTGAGAGGTCATCTTGAATTGTGTGGAAGTGACTTAGTGTAACCTCTGAAGTTACTATGAAATGTTAATTCTGAGGAAAAAAAAAAAAAAGTACAATCAGAGAGGTAGGACAGAGATAAAACCCCTTGTTGGTTAACATGGGTATGGAATTTGGGAGAGGGCTATAAAACTAGACTAGGATTATTTGACTGTGCTCTATAGGTAATTAATTTAGTGAATCCTGGGGGAAGGAGAGTACAAAGGACAGGTTTTGTTCTTTTTTTTTTGTAAGTGCTCTTTTACAGCCCTTTACCAGGGAATAAGAAAGAAGTCACAGTATGCTTTTGAAAAAGTGAACAGAATTTGGGTAATGTGCAAATTGCTTATTATTGTAACAGAAATTCTCATTGATGTGAACTTTATTTGGGAGGATTATGTAACTCACGCTGTCTTCTAACAAACAGCCTTAGCTAAACGATCACTGCCAACTCGATATGGAAGTTTTGGGCTGCATATACAGACGCAATTATCCAGCGACGTTACATCATTTGAATGCATACTGCTCGCTCTCTTGGCAGTTTCAGAAATTTCCTTTGCTTATGAGAAAACGTGGCGTCTTACTTCCTATTGTAAGCTATGCTGAGTCAATCTTACACTCAGCTAATGCCTCATCTCGGTGTCTTTATCACAAACTCTGTCTTCAGTGCCGGAAGTACTGCATGTTCCCTTCCAGGAATTGGTTTATACTACATTTGTTTTAGGGTCTGACAAATCCCGGAGCCAGAAGGCTTGTTTCTTCAGAGCTAATGAATACATTTACTAAATACTTTTATTCATCTAAAGCAAAAGAAAAGGAATCTACTAGTTAAAAATTGGCATAGGGGTTTGTATTCATCAGTTATTTGTAGCAATAATGCAAGGAGAGACATAGGGATTCTGTGACTCTGTCCCTAATGAGAGATGAGTCACAAGTATTTGTTGGAATCATTCCACAGTCAGCAAGAGATGGAGGACAAATCAGAATTTATTCATAACTAACAGTCAAAAAATACGCATTTATGCCAGTGTTATGCTAATTAGGATTTCTTACTATATATATTAAAAACAAATCCAATACTTTTGTAGATTGATCACAGCAAAGCTAGCACAACAACACACTGAGTTATAAATATATCATCAAAAGAAATCTGAAAATCTGCTTGGAATATCCCAGTGATATTAAGGTGGCCTCTGTTGGAGCAGCTTATCCTATTCGTAGTGCTGTAAAAGTCTGCTGGCTAATTAACCTGACAAAGTGTTTCAAGTGCTGGTAGTATGTGACCTGGTCACTCGTGTGGATTGTATTGCCGGATTGAAGATGTACTTGACTGGTACATTTAATACCTTTTATTAAGCGCTTTTAATTTGCTGATGTAGACTGACTTCTCATTCCTTTGGATTTTTCATTATCATTTAATTGTTCAGTGACTGAAAAAAAATTGCCTTGGGTTTTACCATTTTGGACAATAAAAATCGTGTTTAGCTTCTAAAATCTGACCATACAGTGCAGGGTCTGTCATGAGTCCTCGTGGAGTAAGGGCTAGAATTGGGTAACCTTTAAGAAGTGCCACTGATAGCTCTCCAAGGGCCCTGCCTGCATACTCTGGACTTTACCGGAGATTTCCCCCTTTATTTGGGAGGGGTGTGGCTAGGAGTGACCTGCCCTCAGGCTGTATTTGTATGTAAACCAACACCCTGCAGCCAGCAGGGAGAGAGTAATGCAAACCATCCGTGTACCAAGTCTTCTCGTCACAACTGAGCAGATTTCTTTTCTGGCATTTCCCTCTTTACTAAGGTATCTTGTTAATGCTTCATGAATACATGGGAGGCACATGTTAACAGATGCCACAAGTAATTGCTGCTGTAAAGGAGACGCTTCCACCCTGGAACAGCCCCTCGTCAGTAGCGAGAGGCTGTATTTCCCTCTGTAACAGCGCTGGACTCGTACCTAGTTCAGAAGAATAGCAACAGATCTATTCTGTCAGGTGTTTTAAAGAAACAAATATTTGTTTTATTATGGTACTTGCCTGATGTTCCTTAGCCACATTTTACACATCACAGAGCAGTAATGTTTGTCTCCTACTGCTAAATAAAGCATTCTATGGAAATGTATCTATAGCTGGAATGAAAAGAGAATGGCCAGTGAAGGGCAATATTGTTTACAACATCACCTGTTCTCATGCAAACGTTACAAAAGGGTTCCTCCTGTAATGTCCAGTCCTCTGGGTTGTTTGCAGCCATGTGTTTAATTAGGTGTAACTAGGGAAAGAAAATAGGCTTATTACCACCCCTTTCTTCCTGAGAGCCAGTACTGTGCTTCAGACCAACCAGGTTTGGGGCTCAGAAAACTTTGCCTGAACCATTTTGACTGTTCAGAAGGCTTATGAGCATCCTGATGCTTGCACGTGGGTGTCAGTACTAGCCCTTTTAGACAAAATACCAGTGTACAGAAAGAGCCCATTCAGTAGTTCTAGTTAAAGAACTGTCATTAAAAACCAAACAATGGATCATGCTGGAAATTCTGTTGCGCTTACCCTACAGAGCAGTGAACACCATCCTTAGTTACATTTTACGTTAATTAAATCTTGCGATTTCTCCTTGATAGTGAACATCCTAGTGCACATGTAAAAAATAACACAATTAAAAAAAATCATTTCAAATGAAGCACCAGCTTTTGAGTCCATCAGTTTTTCTGATAGTCTCAAAGTTACATTTCCTGCTGTAGTTGTTCAGCATCTTTCCAAGTTAGGTGAAGATTTCTGAACATGCCCTCTTCTGGTAAAACCAAGGGCTTGACAGGCAGTATTATGTTCCGTTCTTCCCATTCTACACTGCACTTAAGAGAAAAAGAGGGCAGGACACATGCTAATGAAAGGGATGAGAGATTAAAATTATTTTATGGGAAACAGTCTCTGGCAAGACTGCAGCAGTAGTTAGTGAGCCATTACCGCTGCACCCACCAGCATCCATCTGAATTTCTAGGTGGCTCCGATGAGTCTGCATGGTACCACAGAGAATTAACGATTCCTGCATTACAAGTTAATTATACAAAAAAACTACAAAAGATCTTTCACATAACAGTACATAAACATACCATGTAAAAGACAACTGAAGAAAAGGGTAAAACACGTTGCCAGTCTTGGCTTTCCAGACTCTGGATGCAGGTGCCGCGTCTCTCGCAACACCCGTGTCCCAGGACGCGATGCAGACAACAGGGCGGAGGAGCGTTCCCTGTAACGTGTTGCTGCACTGACAAGGGTAAATGCTATGTGGCAGGTCTTGCTGGCAGAAAGGAGGTAAAGCTTTTCTGCACTGCAGCATCGGGCTGCTTCTGGCCCCCCCCGGACAGGCATGAGGTACTACTAGTGTTCTTGGTCACGTTGAAACATCATCTCCAGTCTTCAAAGGTAGGAGTTAAAAATCTGCTGTCATTCAGCATTTCATCTCGGCTTAACATCGTCTGAAAAAACAAGATGTGAACGAGTAAGTGTGTCCCGTTAGAGGCCTGAAGTTAAAGAAATCCAGCTGTAATGAGACCAGATTCACAACAGAGGGGGTTAGAGCCACATAGACTTCAAAGGAATTTCTTGAATGCAGCTTTAAACGAACTATTATTTGCTTGAGGAAGTTCTCACAGAGGTTTGTGTGGGACATGCGACTCAACTACGTTATGTAATTCTTCGTTATACCTTTCAGTCAACTTTTTTTTTTTTAAAAAAAAATCATTTGCTATGGAGTCAGGAATTAATAGTGAGTTATTGTTTTTGTTTTCCGTGGAGTTTTAGCTCATGTCAATTTTCAAGCCTGTACCTCTTTGCTAGACTTTGCTATGACTGAGGCATTTGATGGTGCTGAGTTGCAAAATCTTTGAAGAATGGTTTTCATTTAAGGAGATGAATATCTGTCATTGGGTCACAGAGATACAGTTTGTGAAAACTTAAAATAGGCCTAAACGAAACCATTTCTGGTGCGATTTAAAAGCAGGGTTTTTTGGACTGCAAAAGTGCAATGAGGATATTTAACAAGAATAGTGACCCTCTTACTCTTAACTACCACCAGCAATGACTGACTTTCACTGAATTCTAGCAGAATACATTTGTGATTAAAACAAGAGTGAAATCAGTACCTACCGTAAGATGGCTTATGCCTTGGGAAAGAGCCCCTATTTGCATTACTGTTCCTTCTGAATGTTCCATCTGTAAAAGTATTCAGGAACTAATTCAAATCAGACAGTAGGTGCAGTTTTATTCACTCTACATGCATCTTTGGGAGGTGTCTGTGCCTGGACAAACAAGGTTGTGACAAGTTTAAAAGCTCCGATTTCTGCACAGTAACAAAAATGCCTCCATGCTGTAAGGTACGTGAAAAGGCATTTAACGATAGGAAGAGTGAATCCTGATGAAGATTGATTGAGTCCATGAAACCTGAGCTGTAATTCACACAAGAAAAGAAAAAGCTTAACTGGAAGTATCAATGAAGAGTAGTATTTTCCAGATGCTGTAACACTTACTATACTTCTGGTAGTTTTCTTTTGCAGGCAAGAGGTAGGAGTCCTTCATGACAGTCCTACCCATTTTTCTATAAAAAAGTTATCAGTTCTAGGGCATTGGGACTTCACTGCATGACCACATGCTCAGAAGTCATGCTTAACTGAAAGACTATGCTGCTAGAGAGAAATCAGTATTGTTGTAATGCTTGCAGAACTGCCTGGCGTAAGCTCTTGGCTCAACGTCAATGCATTCACTGGCAGCTCTTAACCGCGCAAGTGGACATCCTCACTGAATTACCATCGGGATTTGGTATGGTGCCTCCTTGGGAACAGTTCTGTGTTCCACTAAGGTGTACACTGAAAAAGACAATGGTTAGGTAACGAACACAAATGAGATGTTAGATGCAGTAAACCATGCAAATGAAAAAATTCCTTTCGGTTAGTCTTTTTGATTTTGCGACCCTTCTCTTATCAAGCTTAAAATATTTTCCTCTCACTTAAGGTCACTGGAGATAGGACAGTTCACCCCAGCTGCCTCCGCCTCGCTCTTGTGTGTTGCCAGAGTTCACACAAGTCTCCAGGAGCTCCATTTTTCAGGGTTTACATCCCTTTACACAACAGCAAAGTTGAAAAAATTTGATGGTTTTTAGTCTTCATCATTTGTCTGTATGATGTCTAGGCAGTTTCATTCACAAGTTCACTACTGCATAACACAAGTGAATTATTTAAGTACTGGTTTATTAGTAATCTTGTTCATTGCTGTCACATATACCATCTAAGTGTAACTACTCCCCACTGTACAGCATGAAAGAAAAATTCAGTTGGATTCTTTGATCAATGTCTGTTAAAAATATACGATCCAGTTGTACTTTGACCTATAACTTGACAGCTTTGTACAAATTAGTCCAAATAAATTTATTACATTAAAAACCACCCATAAAGATAACGAAAGAAGTAGTGTGCCATACTGAGATTATGAAAGTTAGAAGTAAAAAAGTTTTGTATTTACTGTAACCACCACCTTAATTGTCAAAATACATCGATCTTCATAGTGTAAAGGTGTTAGATTCCTGAAAAAGGGCTTGAAGATGGATGAGTTTATTATGATGTTGATTAAAAACAACTGACATTCTTAGTACAGAACTCGTTCTAGAGTTCGTAGCCAATCCTTCTCCATGAGTTCATGCGGATGGAGCAAACCCGTTGTTACATGCTAACACGTGGTTATGTGCAAGCTGTGGAATGCATGGGGAGGATGACATGAGTGGCGTCAGGCTGTCTGTCCCACCTGATCCAGTTCCCGGTCAGTGAATGGACTCAGTCCTTTGTATCCGCCGTAGTTCTTCTGAGTACCGTTCGTAGCAGCTGGATTTGCATCCATGGGACAGATGTAGTCTGTCGATTCATCAAATTTCTTTTTCCTTAAGTTTCCAAAATGTGAAAATCCAAGTTTCTTTGGCTAAAATAAGAAGACAACAAAACAGGTTTATAAGTAAGAAAAGTAAGGTTGTCCTTTAAACACTCAAAATCCTCTCCTTTTTGATTTACTGCTCTACCCTCGTCCTTCAAGTACATAGATTCTGAACTAAATTAATTGTTCTCAAATTAGGAGCTACAGTTGATGTTAAATACGGTCAGAGGGTGTTCCTTCTGAGACAAGGCAGAAGGGATTGCATGCTTATTTCAGAAGCTGATTTAAACAGCTACAAATTAAGTATTTTGGCATCTGGAGTTAAGGAAAATATAACGCTCCTTCTAGAACTGACCTCCTCCTGCCCATGTTTGTCCCTTACTGCCTTTATAAAACAGGGGAGGGGAAGTGTGAAATTCTGAAATACCTCCTTTTTGAAAGCAGAACTTACCCGAACTTTGGCAGTGGTGGTCAGAGGTGTGTATGCTGCTGACTCCATTATTTCTCTCTTTTCTTGTTGTGCCTCTGGTCCAATTAATACGTTAAAATTGGTTGTTAGGTGGCGCCGCAGTAGGGTCTTTTGAGGCGGAATATTCAGCAGTATTGCCAGCGTGTCACCATTGAAGCGAGGTTCGAGAATCTATTAAAAAATGGCAGAATATTTAGTTTAATATGGTTAAATATTTGCAATAGTAAACCATTACAGTGCTTATCAAGAATTCCTCATTCTTACTAAGCTATCTATCTACATTAGACTTGTGGCTAACTTACTCATGATACGGTACTCGCTAGAGTTTGAATGGAAAATAGATGAAAACAGGCACTAAGTGCAGAGCGTGATCAGGCAAATACGTATTTATATTTAGCATCAAGCCTTCTGTTTGGATTGAACAAGTTTGTTTTCAGAATTTTCGGCTCTACTTGGAGTATAAACTTAATCTTAGCACAATTTTTTCTATTTTATTTTGCAAAAATTCTACAGCACTAGAATCAGGTATTTCAGAACTCTGACTTTACTAAGCTGCAAATAGTTCTGAATGTTTTGAATTAAAAAAAAATCTCCTTCCTGACTGCTGGCAAGACTGCCGGGAGTTCACGACAGTTATTTACTGTGGCTTAGAATTCTATTAAAACCACTCAAAGAAACACTTTATGCCTTATCAATTTTTCCTACTTTTCCCCAGTACAGTTTGGTTTTGGGGGTTTTTATGTACTGCTGTTAAACACTCATGCATGGCTCAGCTTTGGTTATAAAAAATGTTTTAGCAGTTCCTTTTTTGTTTTCCTTTGTAAAATTAAGATGCTTGGATCAGATGAAGAGGCTCTTCAGAAGGCCTGATCATGCTGTCATACTGCAGCGGTATTTGTTTCCTCCTGCTTGACAAACAGCAGATCAAAGATGCTTTATATTACAGTCTGTCAGTTTTCAGTAGATACGCAGTAAGATGTTAAAACAAATTCTTACAATCAGGCCACCGTGCACTCCGCTTCCTCGAAGGTTTGGTGCGTATTCTGCCAGGTCAACCGACCTGAGCCATTCCATCACTCTGTGGTTGGACCACTGCACTACTTCAGAAGGCGAAACGTTGTTCTGTTGAAGTAACCAGAAAAGATGATGACGCTATAGCCTGCACTGTCACTGCATGGTCACAACAGGTATCCTCAGTCCAGATAAACACTCGTTCCTCTAATAGAGCAGTGTTTTCTCCCTGATTCTAAGATACCGTTTCTGCTGAAGGCCTTTTCAAGCATCCTCTGATGAGATGGCGCAGTCTAGTACAGACAAAACCCCACACATCACATCAGCAGTCTAACAGCAGAGGTTACAGATGCTAGGTGTAAAAAAGGGCGCGTTTTGAGAACAGTATTATTGTCAGTCTTTAATACTAAGAGAATAAGCTGTGCTGACCAGGTAAGGCAAAAACCTTACAGCCTTTGAGAGTTAAAAAGTTAGGACAGGCAAAGAAAAAACATTCCAAATTCTTCTCTTGGAAGCTGAATTAACTTCTTTAAGCTAAGCAAATAATTTCTAAAGGGAAGTGCATGAGATTCAACTAATAAGTGGTTCAGGCACTTAAGGACTGAGTAGATTTTTGTTATCAGCGAGTACATGTTACATTCCAGGGCTGGAAAGCAGCGTAACTACTGCTTTGGACACACCGCCCTGGTAGCAGTGAGTCTATTGTATCACGGTGCACTGCTGGCTTTGTCCCCTTTGGCTGGAATCTGGTAACTGGTGCTTAAATTAATTTATTTAAACGTACTTTTACCTCCTCAACTGGTCTCCTGCGTAGACAGTGGGGGTTAAAACTGTTGACATGCAGCACATGAATGGCACATTTAATACTCAGATGATGCAGCTGACTGGTGACTTTCAGAAAGAGGAGGTCATTCTGTAAAGGAGAGCGCCTTGTAAGTGGCACAGAATACACACCAAAACAGGTACTTTCCCCAAGAAGAAAGATTTTAAGCTTGCTGTGTAGTTTTATACAAACCACAGTAACTGTGGTTTAGGTAAAGTAAGTTTCTATTTTAAGGTTTTTAGGGTGGGGGTTTTTGTTGTTCTTCTTGTTTGTTTTTTGTTGTGTGGTGGTGGTGGTGTTTTTTTTTTTTTTAGACATTGCACCATAGCAAGACCTGGCTAAAGAATGAAGGAGAGCTTGTAGCCAATTAAGTGAAATCCAGGCTCATGGATAGTTTTAAAATATTTGTACTGTTTCTGATCTGGCTGAGATCCTGTTGTGGGTGGGGCCAGTGCAGCTAGCAACACACCTGACCATGGAACGGCAGCGACCATGCTCCTGTAACAAAGGCTCCTCAAGCAGCATAGATAAGGCTGTACTTTTGATAACAGCTAAATTGGCATTTTTTTCATAGCACAGTTAACAAAAACAAATACTTAATTATCTGAACCTAGGCAGGGAAACTGCAAGAAAACACCATGGCTCTGTGTAGTGCATGGTTTGCTGCTAATGTGGTCAGAGCTGTACAAATTACTGGATTTGCTGCTTATCTTTAGTTTACTGAATATTGTTGCTAACTTGGTGTGGAGAACCACACACTCCAGAAGCTGCACGTAAAACAGCTCATTTTACCTTTAATTGTGGTGTGCTCCATGGTATTGAAAGGAAAGTCTGCAGAAGTTAGCTCTAACATACCCTGCAACTTATTTGATCTACCTTAGGAATAGTATCATGGACTAGACAACACGAATGAGTTACTACAGGCAATATTTGTCTTGCAAAAAATTCTTTAACTGCTCACATTCAGAGGAAAACTGTAAAAGTCTTTGCTCATTCTGAAGTTAAATTTGGTTAAACTGAGGAAAAAGGGGTTTAGCTTACCACAGTTAAGTACTGCAACATTCTCCCATCAACTCTGGACTCATGAAACTGGTCTTTGTACTGAGGCAAACCAATATCATCAAGCCATCCTGCAGATGCAAGAACAAGGGAGTGCCCAAATCCAGATCAGTGACAATGAAGCCCTTCACCCCTTCTTGTCTAGGCTGGCTGCTTCTGAGGCATTCAGGTAGCTCGTTCTACCCAGTCACCTTTCAAAGGACAGCCTCTTACCAGAAGCCTAAAAGCAATTCCCACCAAACAGCTTTGTCAGTGATACCCCTGGGATATTTTACTAACAGTGTGTGACTGAGCACATACCTTCTGCAGCGTAACGTAGCTCTGGCTAGCCTGAGCCCCCCACCCTTCCTTCCCTGCAACCTGAATGACAGAGTTCCCCATGGGAGATCATACCGTACAGCTGTGTATTGGGGTGTCAGGAAGAACACAGAAGTCCTCATTCTACTATATTGAAACTTAGTGCTCTTACAAAGACGTTTAGTAACTGCTTAAACGAACATGTATCAGGCAGCCCATCCATAGGGGTGGGGGAAATTCCTTTCCAAACAGTTCCATGACAGTTCAAGCACTTACGTGTCACCCAGATGTGATCAAGTTGTGCAGACTTCTCATCCTGTTTTGCATTTATTGATTTAATGGCCAAAACTAATTTCTTCCTGTGCAGTGGATGCTTTATTCCCATTTCCTGCAACAGCAACCATTAACAAACAGTTTACCTTGTCTCTGGCTCTTTTCACCTCGTTAGGTATCTACAAAAATTGGTACTGCATGTTTCAGAAAGATAGTCCTGCCAATTCCGCTGTACAGAATCAGCATAGGTATGGCTGCTTGAGAGAAACAGTTCCAGGTTATTACCTTTTCCATGTCCTGAGGTGTCGCAGTTAACAGCGTATGGCCTGAAGTCACCCACTGCCGTGCAAAAATGACGTACTGGCCGAGACCAAAGTCCTCAAGCCAGTTACAAACTCTTTCAGTGCTCCACTGAGCAAATGGAGCATTGTAGTCACTGAAAAGTACAAAAAATGTTTGAAAAATCTTAAAGGAAAGAATGATGGTTATTAGCAGAAAGCTCACTGTGTGCCAGAGGCAGTAACACAGTGTATGTGCTAGCGTGCTGTGTGCTGTGCGCAGTAAGAGCTGAGCGCCCTTCTCGCAGCGAGTGCTGTGGTACCAGGGGCCTGTCCAGTTGGCTGCCCAGCCTCAATGTGTGAGCAGCTGGGGGCAGGGGGGTGCCTAAGAATTTCCCATTTTCTATTTGAAAAGACGAAAACGGGACTTGCTTATCACTTTGCAGATATTCCTATAGGCGATGACGCTAAGTTTGCTTGTTCTTTACAAGGTGACATTTTTGACACTCCAGCGAGCAGCCAGTGCTGCAACCTGCAGCTGAAGGAGCGCAGGCAGGGGAGCTACTCGGGATGCATTTTCTACCAGAGAAATTCTTTCCACGTGTTGTAGAATTCCATGTGCAATGAAGCACATTGGGAAAAAAAGTATTTACAAGAGGAGGGTTTGGCTGTTCAGCACATTTAACAACACTGCACAATACGCTGTGCCACGTAAAGAAGGAACCGTTACCTTTTCTGGCCTTTGGTTTCCTTTGATCTGGATAACCGAGGGCCAGCTGTTGCACGGAGACCACCTCTTCGAAACTCTGCCAGACCCAGATCGTCTGCAGGGAAGTTACCTGACTGAGTTCTTCTTATTCTTTCAAGACAAGAGTGCCACGACAGTACTATTAGCTTGCAACAGAGAACATTTGTTTCGTATGGAAACTAGAGTGACAACTAGAAGCTGTATCAATCTTCCTGTAAACCACAAACATCTAATTCAAGGGGTAGCTGAAGAAGTTCCAGGCAAACGCTGTCTAGACCTAACTTCTGAGCAATGCAAAAAGCTCTGCCGAGTAGCCATAACCCTTCAATCCAAATAATAATCCGCACTGGAGACCAGACTTGTAAATACCTGCTGTCCTGAAGCAGATAAAGTGAACATGGTAAAACTCAGCCCCCTGTTTTTTGTTTCTTCTGTTTTCAGTCTTTTTTTTTTTTTACCTGATCCCTTCTGTAATGAACAACTTACCATAATTTTTCATAGCTAATGAAACTGTTGGCATCCTAAATTATTAGCACTACGATGACAGGAGAGTGTCTTTATTTCTTCCAACAGCCTGATGCTGGGAACACTGCCACCCATTTCGCTACACCCCTGTGCAGAGAGACCCACCCATACAATCACAGAGCTGCTTTCTCTACTTTTCCTGGATTTTACTTTATTCTTGCTGTAGATAGTGTAGCTTTTGTGGAGAAGTGGATTAATTCTCAGCTGAAACGCTTTGACAGGGAAATAAAAAAAAAAAAATAAAAAAAATTAAAAAAGACCTTACTTTCCCCAGATTTTCTTGATCCCTTTTGGACTCTTTCTATTTTCTGGAGACAATGGAGATTGTGGACTTGAATCCGTTCCCGAGGAAAGAGGGGAAAGGTCATCTGAGATTGCTGTACCATCCATGTTCTCTGTTTCTCCTGGGTTAAGAACAGTAATACAGCCACATTTCACACTAGTGAGTAACAAAGTTGTTACCTGGGAGACTAATATTTAAATGCAGAACATAGTAAAAAAGTAAAGATACCTATAAAATTGTTCTTTTATAAAAAAACCCCACATGCCCAGAGGGTAAAAAAAAAATAATGTAGCTGTACATTTGATACAAAAAAGAAAATAGTAAAACATTGGGTAAAATAGTATTATTTCAGTCATTTGTATTGATTTTAATTAATTTAAGGACTTCAGACTCTTGCCTTGCCTATTCTTAACACCATAACTCCTCCATCAAATTCAGTGGGAATTTTTCTGTTGATTTCACTGCAAACAGAATGAAACCCGGAACAGGTATCTTAAAAAGAAATCCCGTCTGAATGCCATACAGCAAAGCTGTTGCTTCATTTCAGCATTGCACTTAAGGAATTCAGTCTGGATGGCCCACTTGGTATTAGTATTTCATAGAGAAAAAAGGGAGGGAAAAAGGAAAGGAAAAAAGTAAGCAGCAAAATTCATGTTAAAAGTTGCATCTTGATCGGATACAGTACCTAGCACGGGTGCACTGACACTCCTGATGCGATCTTCAGTCATCCCAAGAAGCAGAAAGCCAGATGAAAAAGCAAAGAAGATATAAAACACCAGCAACATAAAGTTACAGGAGAGCAAAGAAGTAAGCTAAGCAGTAAAAGCAGAAACCAAAAGAAAAGAAGCAGTTACGCTGGTCATGGGAGTGAATATGCATCGGTGTGCACAAGCCCCAAGAATTCTGTGCAGGTCATCTTAAAATAGACAGGGATGATCGTTTATTTTTTGTTTGGGGTTTTCTGTAAACTGTTCTTAGACAGTTTTAAACACATTAAGCGTATACTACAGAGCTCCACAAAGCCTGCAGAGTATGTGAAATGAAGCAATGTCTAAGATTACATCAAATACCTCTGAAATACAGAATTGGAGGTGTAGTGAGTTTACTGCACGTGCAAGGAACAACCCAACCTGCATAAAAATTTCTGCTAATTCAGTGTATTTAAGGAATCATTGCTTGTTTCTAGAAAAAGAACATTTTCCTTTACAAGATCACCCAACCTTGGATAATCCTCCAGTTAAAGATGTAACAGCATGGCTCATGCATTGCCTACAATGTCACAATCACACAAAAACTTTAAAAAACCCTGAATGACCCACAACCTATTGAAATCTTGAGACCCTACAGCAGCTTTTCTGACCACAAGGCCTTAAAACAAATAAAAGCCCGTCAAACAAAACCACCCCACCATAACTTTTAAAGGCCAGGAGCACGTCAAAATCACAAGGGTATCCCGTGCCTGAGCTCCCATGGTCTTCAGGCAGATACCTGGTTCTGTGCCTCACCATAATACTTTTTGTCATTAAATCCGTGCTTAAGGTGTCACTGAAAAGAAATTAATATGAGCTTCCACACATGGCTCTGGTTGTGGAATAACAATATACTTGTATTTTCAGAATCCACTGATGTTTTTCTCCACCTGGCAAGTCAATTTTTCACTTGTGGGTCCCCACAAGCTACAGCAACCAACAGTGCTGATACTAGGATTTTTGCCTGAAACGTGCGCATTAGTGCTAGTTATGCTGTGAAGTTTCACACACTGAAAGGCAGTGGGATGGCCAGGGAGGGGTGGTTTGTGTCATTTAATGCGCTAATCTGGTGTACGTTTTTTAAAAGCATTGGCGATGTATTTGGCTGTGCGTTTTTTAAGAAAAGAGATCAGCAAGCTCAGGGGAGGAATGGAAGTGTGTCTGGAAAAAATACTGCCTATTCACATTGTCAGTATGTTTGCATGTCTGACAGTTCCAGTTTTCAGTTACGGATTTGTTGACTTTCAGAATGCTTTCCCCACAATCTCCAAAACAGTGCCTCTTCATTACTTACACTATCAATGATGTCAGCAAATTGCACCATCAAATGCAAGAGAAAAGAACGCTCGAACTTAAAGCCATCCTTTACTCTCCAGTGAGCGAATGTGGAATATTTTCTGTACATTGTTTAAAGAAAGGAACCTTCCCTAACTGAATCATGTGAACGTCACAGTCCCTTGTTCTGGCAGAGCAGCTGACATACCATGCTATGTCCCAGTCCCTCAGTTTGCCTTTTCCCCTCCTACGCAACCCTCTCAAAGAGGCGTGGATACGCACTTAGGCCCAGGACGCCGCTGTCCTCGTCGTTCATGCCACCCCCGTCTGGCGAATTGTGTGTTCCCTGCTCTCCGTTCTGTACGGGCCGAGGCAGCTTCCCCGGCAAGGTTTGATACTTGCTGCCTTTCACAAGTGGCTTACTCTGGTTATTTTAAAGAGGGAAAAAGAAAAGAAGTAAATGCAAAATCAAATCACCCATAGCATTTGCAATCCAGCACACAGTATTTTAAAAGTTGAGAAAAAGTATTTGAAGATTGTGGTCCAAGAGGACACCACCACCTCCATGTTCCTTCTTACAGATAATTCCATTTAAATCCAACAGTCACTGACAAAAGTTTTCTAGCTAAGACACAGCCTTCTCTTCCCTCATCTTCCCCACCCACTTCAGCCAGGCTGTGTATTACATTAAAATATATGTTGAGTATTATCTGGTTTGTCATAAGAATTTTTCTAGCTGTCTCCCTTTTCTCTAGGACCCTGGCACTAAGTAATAATTTGGTCCTTCCAAGGTCAGTTGTGACAGTGCCAGAAATGCATTTACTTACTCCTCAGCCCATTCTTTGCTCTGTCAATGTTTTCCCCTATTTTTCACCAGACTGTCTATGTTTCTGCCTCACAATTGTATCTTGCTGGAATTTAAGCCAAAAGTATTTGTATAACTCAAATTTTGTCAAGCATATCTGCCAACCACCATTAATAACAGTAAAAGAATCAACAACCAAGTTAGGGCACAGAAATTTAGCTTTTGTAAGAATTAAGATCCCTTTGTATAGGTAACATTACAAATGCGAGATTTTAGAAAAATAACTATAGCTAAACAGATAGATGCCAAATACACAGCTAACTATGGAATTGCCAATTCTATAATGGAACCTAAGACCCAGGTATGCTTCTGATATATGCTGGGGAAAAAAAAGCAGACACTGAGCTGTGTTTTAGGGCGAGTCTGAAGGGCTGCTGACTCTACAATTGTTGTCCCCATCAAGCTAAAATCAGAGCCTAACGTACGTTTGCCTGCAGCTATGGCAGACGTAGCATCAGTGAGGTTACTCACGCTGGAAGGACCTTCCTCCAGCAGCAAAGCCCACAGGCGGTGCTCCTCAGAGTCTCAGTGTGTTGTATTGAAAGGGAACAGGGGCGTAGGCTTTGCTAAAAATAGCATATCGCTTAATTTTCCTTGCATTTGGTTTTTCAGTGATCAGCTACTTGGGGATCTTGCCCCTTGTACAAGGGCAGATTAGAACTTGCATATAAATTTGACAGACTTGAGCCTGACAAGATACTTTTCCAGCCAAAGGATGTGTTTCAGAGAGGTACTTGTTACTGTTTTGGAAACGGCATGTTGAGACTTCTTCAATATCGAATCCAAATGCAAAGGTGCAGGAGCCATTGCTCTGGGCAAACACGTATATCCCACAGCTGTCAGAACTAGGGGTATAGAGGCTTTTCCAGAGAAGCAATGAACCTGCAACTCCAGTTGACATTAGTGGGAGTGGTGTACATGCAATGTGTGTTGGGAATAAGCTCATATTGGTAAACATTTCCGTATCAGAAAGGAGGTTGTGTAGGACAAGTCTGTACTGAAAATACAGGAAGCATGTCTAGTGCACAGAAACACACCCTACGCTCCTGTTTAGCAACCCCCTTCTAACAAAATCCTTTTAAAACATTGAAAACATTGTCTGTGACAGGATGATACATGACATACTTAATGAGATAACCACTGCTTTATCTAGTCTTATTTCAAGGCCTAGAGGGATCTTTGTTACACTATTACCGCAGTTCAGGTTCCTCAGTTCTCAACCCCTGCTCCTGTTTTGCCAACTGCAGGAGTCCATCCGGACTTGTACCAACAATTACATGAGTAGAGAAATTGCTTATTCCATTAGCACTGTATTTGCTAAAATTGACTGACTTCAGCTTCTAACCTCACGTAAAACCTTTCGGATAAAAAAACCCCAAGGATTTCCCTCTCAAATCCCTGTTCTCAGAGTTTGTCAGTACTGGAACTACGCAAACATTTTAAAAAGAAAATGAAGACAAAATGAAAACACAGGCACATCACAGCACATCACACAGATAGATGTTAAGAGAGTTTACAGTTAATATACCTCTTGTTCTACAACAGGCTGTACTGGTTTTCCATCTACATACTATGGAGTTGCAGGGAGGGTAATTTCAAAGTTTTATGGAAAAAAGCAACAGACAAATGTTAGTATTAACATACATACACAGAACATCAATTGTAGTCTTATTACTATAGTAATGCTACTTAATGCATTGACAATATATTACAAGGTCTGTTTACCTCTTCATTTCATTTCAATAAAATATTTAATACTAAATGTGTTTGTTCAAACCACTGTACAGAATTCAGGCCCTGTTTAGATTCTATTGTGATCAAAGGAATTTTTCTATTTTCAGGCTTCTGGGTGGTCCCTTTAGACTTACTTTAAGCCAGGAACAGAACAGTTGTTTAACAGTTAACACAATATGACAACAACTGACAAAATAAGAACATACACAGTACTGTATGTGTCCAGCTGAAACCACAGAGCTGTGATAGAAGTGAAGTGATAAAAATACCAGCAGGGCTAGGTCAGAGACACCAATGTGTTTTGGTTTATTACTATTGTTATTGCTGCACATAATTGGAATTTGAGTTCTGTGCAAAGCAGATAGCTCCAGTAAACAGCGCCGCTAGCACAGGTTCTCTCGGACTTAATGCAAGAAGCAAGGTCTTGTCATGCTGAGTCAGCAGAATGAGTTTTCTTGGCCTTCGTTTGGTGGTAACGAATTCACGTTTAGCCACACACTCATACGCAGGGGGAGGTCTCGGTTGGTGCACTAAGAGGCCTCATGCCTAAATCAGGGCGTACAATTTAAATGCCATGCTGAACATGGGGCTGGCCTGCCACAGCTCTCATATCCTCAGCAGTGTCTTCTTCCTCTGCGGACTCTGCTTTAACAGACGGAGCAGATTTACAGCCTGCCTCGTCATCGTATCACACAGACAAATTAAGTTTTTGAATTTAAGACAGGAAAACAATTTAAAGGTTATGAAAAGAAAACAGACCTTCATAAATTCCAAGTAGAATGAAATGTTAGTTCTGAACTGATTTGTCACATGTACAACAACGATCAAATGAGTCAACACATATTTCAAACATTCTATTTGGTCACGGTCATCTTCAGAAAATTTGAAGAACTGGAACAATCATATTACTAGCATCCATTTTAAATGGCATTACTGGGTGCGGGTAATTAGTATTAAGCCTAATTTGAGTATAGAAATGTCACTAAGAGTCTCACGAAGCACAATTACAACTGCAGAAAAATGTCAGTGTACATAATGACTAAACAAGCCTCTGTAATGTACTGAGACTTTGTGAATTGGAAAGTCTTTATTCTGGAATGAAATTGAGCCTTTGAATTAGTAACAGTGCTCCTGCTGTTTTAACTAAGGCAGCACCACTACATCTTCAGGAATGTTTCAGAAGTCTGAGTTTGGGAGCGACACTCCTATTTCCATGCAAGCACTCAAAAAGGAATCCTATGGGGAAACACCCAGCCCCAATACTTAATTACTTTCAGGATTTGCTGCCTTAACATTTTTAGTGATTTGGAAGTTAAAATTATTTAAAACCCACTTACCTATAAACAAAATAATACTGCATTTCAACAAAATGACTCCTCATTAACATTATTTGTTGTATTTCTCTTAAATGTTTTTCTTTTCTTTCAGGTGAAAAGCTGAATTTGAGGATGTGGAGATATGGGTGTGTCAACTAGTTTGTTTATTCTAAGCTTGGCAATGGAGTAAAAAAAAAAGAACCTGAACTGTTTTATCATTGGGGCTTTTTTCCCCACATGCAATGTCAGCGGTGGTTAGGGTTACTGTATGTGAAAGAAAAAGAATATTTATATTTGTCCTTTATCTTGTATCATGATATAAAACGCCAGACATTGTGATTGCAAACAAACCAACCTTTTCCAGGGATTCACTCTGCAAGTCTTCTAAACTACTTGACTTTTTTTTCTGTGGAACCCTTAAAGTAATGACAGGCAAAACGGCAACAGTTAACACAGTATGGTTGCATATGCCACAACCGTATCATATGACAGCTATATATATCACATAATGTCTGCACATAACAGATAATTAAGAATTAGGAGATTCTTTTCTTTCAGTATATTTTTAGCCTAAAACTCATAGTATTGGGAACTGCAATAGAGGAAGTCACAAAGAGCAACAAGCCATCCTTTGATCAACAATGAAAGGCAGCACGGCGCAATGTGGTTTTAAACCTTCTATCTATTGAGGACTTTTTAGAAGCTCTTAACAAGCAAAAGGAGGCAGTAATAACTCTGTGACCAGCGTGCAACATTAAGGAATTTTAAAAACGGAAAAAGGCAGAATTACGTAAATAAGATACTGTCTGTTTGTTATACATTTCAATTAAAGTTACTCATTCTTACCTATTTATGATTTCCAAAGTTTCTTCTTGTGGAGAAGTTAAATTAGTTGAAGATACTGGAATGCTTCCACTTTAAATCAGAATAAAATATACTGTTTTAAGTACTAATAATACATATATCTTCTGATATATAAAAGTGCTAATTTTTTCCTTTGAAACCCTACACAATTAAGTATTGCAGACTCCCATGGCAAACACTGCTTTCACAACTACCCGAAAGTTCTGGCAAAGCCAAGAACAGGCAAGACAAGATGCCAACAGTTAAACAGATTAAACAATACAGACTTAGGACAATCCACATGAAAAACAAGAAACAAAGGTCTTGCCTGATTTCCATAGCTTTGTGTGGCACTGGAGAGAGCACAGCTGGGGACAGTTCTCCTGAAGAGGCCTATGTAAAACACAAGAGATTCAAGCCTGTAGCTCTAGTGCCTGATTCTGAATCTATTGTGCCCATACCGAGAGGTACAGAAATTCAGCCAGGGCCAAACCCTCATCTACATCACTTTAGCTAGTACAGAGAAACCAATACAAACAAATCATATAGACAGCAGAACTTGCTTCTAGAACGTCTTTACTAAGTACCTCCGTTTTAAATAATTCTCCTTGAGGATTATTCAAAAGATTCCACTTCCTTAAAGTTGTCTCAAGTTCCTCTTCACTGCCACCAGAGACAGAAGAGCCTGCAAGCATTAAAGATTAGTAGAAAGGGAGAGAAACAGGCCAGAAAAATAACATTTAGGACCACATCAGGCAGTCTAAATACTTCGGTTTCTAAATTCCCCTTCATCTGATGCATGTCGTTTACCAGCCTCTCCACTCCCCACCCCTCTCCTTTGGGCTCTGACTTACAAGCAAGCTGAAGTATACCAGAGCAACAAATTTACCACTTTAGTTACATGCTGTGCTCTGCTGTGAGCAGCTGAGCTGCTTATGAGGCACCTTCTGAACCACCCTAGTTCCTAGTTTGATGTTCTGAGGCAAGTTCAAGCTGGTACCGTATCGCTTCACCGGTAGCGTGTGTGCTTGGCACCTCCCGCACCACACTGCAGTGCCCCAGGCTCAGCTCAAGGATCAACATGGTAAACACGCCCCAGGTTTTTTCTGGATGTCCCAGGTCTACACAAAAACCGAAATACTCCGAATTCATTATTTAGTAGGACTTTTATTCCAAAATTGCCAAGCTGCACTACTAAATCAGGGTCTGAATATTTAGTACTCTGCAAACTTTTGGAGTATTTTGGGTGAGAATTTTTTTTCTGGAGATCTCGTAAGCACAGGGTTGCAAACAGGGTGTGGAACGACTGCTATGCCATGATGGAGAAATTTAGACTGACCTTTAAGCACACTAATAATTCCTAATTTATTTGATAGAGGTGCAGCAGCTCTAGGCAGTTACCAAAAAAACCACCCAATCTTATGGTTAAGCCTTGGCACTATTAGGACAGAGATCACTTGAAAACTCATTAGACACGATCTTGGTTATCGTGCTGTTCAGCTACAAAGACTGCCGACAGACTGGATACGGACCGTTGCCCCTTTGGGCTATGAAGGGACGCTTAGGCTATGGCTGCTGGCACGCAGCCCTTCAGTTAGCACGGAGAGCTGCCTGCAGTCAGCTCCTTGACATTTTAGTCAACTGTCAGCGGCTTTTTCAAGCAGCTGCCCTACTTTAATCCAAAATAGATTTTGGTTTCTTAAGCGTATGTGCTACCTATGGCGAAGAGTCAGTCGTCTTTTGTCAACATGGTTTGTAGCTTGCCTTCAGCAGAAGTAAGAAACACTTACAATATATTGTGTTCCTGTCAAGTAATTATTTGAAACAGTTATCAGAGACAAAAGATTTCAACCCATTGATTCTACCAAAAGTTTTAAAGCAGAGATTACACTTCAAAGGGAACCTTTAAAACAAACCTCAAAAAAAAAAAACCAAAAAACAATCAATGGAGATCTTTCTGGGCAACCTAAACATGAGACTCCCACGAGTGCACGTAAGGCAACAAGCTCGTTTGGGCTGTGATAATATTGTACCCATCGCAGTATGCATCTCAGGGTGGATGATCTCAGTATGTGCCCTAGTTCCTACGCAGGGTTTGGGGTTTGCTTTTGTTTTGCTATGCTGAACATCACTGGTTTGTTACTTACACCGTGCTGAACGTCTGTACTGGCTTACGTTAACAGCATCATACTCCCTGCAGTACCAGCTCAGCAGTCCAAAGCATCATGGCTTGCTCCTTGCTCATGAGCACACGCGTCCCCCAAAAACCGTATCCCACAGGGGGACGGTGCACTCAGATCTGCACAGCCAGGATGTGGCCAAGGAGAGTGGAACTGCGGGGGTTGCTGTTGAGAGCATCTGCTCTCAGGGTAACAGTGCTGTGGCTGTCTTGGGAGTTAACATCAGAAGGTCTCCAAAAGCTACACTCACACCTTTGGATTGCCTTTCAGAACACTTTCAAGAGAGAGATTTTTTTATTTTTTTTTTTAAAAAAGAACATTCAGAGAGACATCTACCTGACTTTTATTCCCTAGTCTTGTGTGTTAAATACAAGTTTCCATTCTGCCATAGAAGGCCTGAAAATAGTGTGTGTGGTAATGTGACGATGTAGATTGAACAAAACTGTCCTTTCAGAAGGTCAAGTTTCCCAGACTAAACTTGGTACTGAAGCCTAAAGTGGCAACTTAAAATGAGATTGTCCTAAAATCCACTCCACTTCCTGCCGCATAACTGAGAAATGGGACAAAGATTTTTCCCCAGATTTTGATGTTAAATATATAATATTGTGTGCACCAAAGCAACCATGGGTTTTCTGTTGTTCCCTTCAAACCAGACCTTGCCTAGTCATCTGTCAGGATTTTTCTTAGAGGAATGGGAAGGGCAGCAGAACTTATTATATTCATTGCAACTCTTTTTAGCAAAAAAAGAAAAAAATGTCCTCCTAGCAGTATAAAATTGCACTTGAGATCAGCTTCCCTTGTATGAATGCCATAGAAGAAACATGATATGGAAGAAAATGTTGTGTCACTAACGCTAGCTGGCTGGCAGCTGATTGTTATGATCAGCCATTCCTGAATTCAACCGTGGTGTAGGAAATCTAAATACAGGATGCATTTAATTAGTGTTCATAGTCCACTCAGATCTCCTGATGGCATTTTACACAGTAAAAAAGGGACAGAATGGTCACAGGAAACACCATACAAACTTAATACCTATCTGTATACTTTATTCATCTCCTACAGGTGAATTCCTTTAAATCAAACTGAATGTCATTTTGATTTTGAATAACAGATTCTTGAGAGAGGTATCATGCAATTTAATAAGAATAATGGAAACCCACGCCTTTAGCTAATTTGGATGAACGCTCCCAATTGCCCCTATGTTGACAAATTCTAGGTCTGCACAAGTGTCCTGCTGTTTGCTCCCTCCTTTTCACCCTTTTTGCTGTAGTTCCTCTTGGTCTGGCCTCTATGACCCACACACAGCTGAGGGGATGGCCACCAGCAGCAGTGCAAAGGAAGTATGAAGCTTTGGCCATGAAGGACATGTGTCATCAGCCTGCCCTGTGGAAGCGACTTACAGGAGTCCCATCAGCGAGGAGGGACGTGACTGCATGAAGCAGCCAACCGAACCACCGCCCTGGCTGTCCACCCAGCCATCGCTACATGGATGTAGGCCTTCTGCAACCAAAGCTCCTGCCCCACGGCAGTACAGCAAAGTGTTTTAGGAAGAGCAGTTGCTGCCTTCAGATTGCCTTGGCACATAAGGAGGTAAACTGCAGTGCTTCAGAGCCAGCTGATGAGCAGTTCACACAGCTGTACCACCAGAGCAGTAATCTCACCAGTTATCAATCACAATCCTTAGTGACACCATCTAAAACATCATATAGCACCACCATCAGGCTCCAAGGAGGGATTTACTATTAAGTGAAGTAGAACAAATGTTAGGTTATGACTTATGGAGTCAAGCACAAGATTCAGTCACAGAAGTCTCGCTGAACAGTAATGTTGTACCTAAATCGCCAGACAGATTTGACCCTATTTTTACTGCCTACAGCACAGGAAACAAAAAGGACATCTCCACAAACTGCAGGCAATAACACACAAGCCTAGTCAAGATATGCTGTCGTTCTCTCTGTATCTGAGAGTGTATACTTAATTCTGACAGCACTCCAGAATGATACAAATACATCCATAATAAAATATATGTTACTACACACACACATCAAAAAGCACAACAAATAGCAGTTGTAGAGCATGCGGTTTTTAACAGATCTGCTATGAGGAAATTAGTCACAAGACATTTTACCATGAGCTGCAATCATTATCTCTTTGACCCTCCTGAATTGGCTCAGCAGCAGCGTTAACTCCTCTATTCGACGGTCCTGTGACAAGCATTAAATAAAATCACATTTAAAATCCTATATTTTTAACCTGCACAAACACTGGATTACACGTTCATTTCTGTGATTTTGGCCTGCTTTTCCAGAAAGCAGGATCAAGTCTCTCACACATAAGGAACATTTCTTGGCTTTTATTTGCCATTGTACATAATATATGCCAGACAGTGTGAAATTAATGGATATAAGGAAACCAGAGGAGTTTGACATTACTAGTAAATTAGTTATCTACAGCAGCATAATTTGGAAATCTGCTTTCACTTCTGAGAGTCAAGGGAATATTCTGGGGTTGAACCTCAATTGCCTGAAGTGGGTGGTGTTTGGTTTTTGCTAGCATGGCACCCATAATCATAAAGTAAATCATGTTTATGTTTTGTGTAGTTTAACAGTCTAGTCATGTTCTTTAATCCTCTCTTCTAAGATGTGTTCTGCATCCCAACCCCTATGCTTACTGCAGTTTTGAACACACCTTTTTGAACTTAGGCAGCCAAACCTGCACAGAACCAAAGAAATGAGGTCTCATGAATGTCTCATGCATTACCCAACTCCACTCTTTCTCCAACACCTAACGCTTTCCTATTACATCTTGATTCACGTATTCAGGGAGGGCACTTGCCTTTTGCACAAATGTAACATAGTGATGGGTAGTAACAATTATTTGATTGGATCTGTCATTTCTATATATGATATTGTGTCCCTGATGATCACAAATTCTTGCTATTGGTCACTAAGTGTGCGATCTTGCAATCTGCACTCTTACAGTTTGTCCTGTTTCTTTGACCCCTGGTCTAAACCATTCCTGTGTGATAATCTTGCCCAGTGCTGTGACTATAGAGCACCGAATACAAACCCAAGCAAGTAATGAAGAACTATTTCTGGTTTAGTGCTTTAACTTTTCAGTTAAGTCTCTTCTAACTAACCGTACAAACTATAAACATCAGGCTTTATCACCGCTAGAAGCAGTCACTGTCTGGAAAAACACGCTGCTGTTTCAGAAAGTGCCATTAGTTAGAAGAAACTTAACTGAAAAGTTAAAGCACTACAACAGAATTAGTTCTGGTTTAGCCCAAACCAGGACAATCCCCTAATTAGAGGTATTTTCCCCCTCAGGAAGAGTATTTTATTTTGAAGGTTAAGGAAAAAGGAGGAAGGAAAGCCCCAGAAGCAGAGAAGCGGGCACTGTAAAAAAAAAACTTCCAGGGAAGTTGGCAAGTATTTAAGTGATTAGCTGGTATAAGCTGCTGCACTGCCATCCCTAGGTCAGTGTCAGATATTTCAATTAAAATCTGCTCCAGCACATGTATGCTACATCACAGTCACAACATTTTGTGCTCCCTTCAAATGCAAAAATCTTGTGCAAACTTGGAATAATTCTGGCAACAGATAAAGCCATATCTTTTATTTTCCAGATGTAAATTTTGGCTTTCTGACTTTTTGAGAAGTAAATGTTGTTATGAGTCATGCTAATGTTCTCCAGAATTAACATTGCCCTGTCCAGATTCCCCACTTACTAAAGGAAGTTCTTAGGGATGTGTATTATTGTCTATTTGATCATGTATGAGTGTGTCACCATAAAGGAAAATCCTATGGCCTGCTTTATTATCATAAAAAAAGACTGACAGTTTCCTCAAGAATTAATCCCCCTCTGCCCCCTCCAAAAACAAGGAACAATTTATGTGGCAAGCCAATGGCACCAGAAGGTGGAGATCCAATGTCCTCCAAGACTGAGCGCTAAACCCTGCACTTGAATTGTCCGACTGACAGGCAAACAGCATACAGGTGATAAGAGATAAAAACCATATTTACCATTTAAACGGGTTTAATTTCACTGCTCCTCTCCTTTAGTACTCCTTCTCCTTCCCCCACCCCCCTCCTCCCTTGTCTCTTCAAATCCTGGTCCCTTTCTCCTCACATTTGGGCCTGATTCAAAGGCCACTTTGACTTTCTTTTAATATCACAATCTAAACTGGGGATATCAGCGCCCTTCAGGTTTGGCTGGAAGATGAAGAGCTGCCAGAGATTACCAAACCTTACTGATTTTTTCAACAGCAGAAACCAGGAGATTCTGCTTGTGACAGCCCTGGCATTCTACTCCCCTCTGGAATCTAATGAGCCTCCCCAGTTGTGCAGCCAGGTTAGCAAGGTCAGCCACACCTTCAATTTAAAAATCAACCTTCTGTCACAATCTCATGGGATAATCCAAAAACCAGGGCAACACCATGCTTACAGAAGGCAGGTTATTCAGAACATTTCCAACATTCAAAACCATGATTTCATTCTTACATACAACGAGGATTGTTTTCTCACCTTTTCTTCATTTGCAGCCAATAATGATTCCATACCTATCTTCAACCGTTGAACTTCTTGATCTAAAAATGTTTTTAAAAGTTATAAGGAAAATACACTTGCTATATTTAGTGTAAACAATATATGTTTTGTGATACTCTCCTTATGTTCTTATCAGTAACCACGTCAGTGACACGGCAAATGCACTATTTAAGTACATTTAACTTGGAGATTTTCAAAAGCTGAACTATTAAAAGCATTGCACAACACAACTACGCTGGTTTTGCTTATAAAAGGCTACATGATACTATTTTATACTCTAGAAGTCAAGTCTTTCATGAAAAGAAAAGAAGGAAACATTGAAGCTTATTTTGCAAAAAACAAGAGTGTGTTTGCTATTATATATTTAAGGAAATAATTTTAAGTATGATTGAAAATTAATTCTATTCCATCTGAGAAAAATATTCACCAGCTTATTAGAAGTAGTTCAAGGACATTGGACTTGGAAATGAAAAAGTAACAAAAACTAGTTTGACAAGAAAAAAAATTACAAGTTTTCCTTACAACATTTCAGCATGAATAACTAAGTTAAAAAATCTACATCAAGAGGTAATACTGAATTGCCTCACTCACAATTTAGCATTACAAGATAGAGGTTATTCGGGAACGTTATGGTCAAATCAATAACAACAACCTCATAAATTTTCAGAGTGTGTGTTTATCACGTCATCCTAAGTTTGCTGAACCAAAACTTTCATTTCTTCTCTACACACTATTCCTAGCAAGTCCTCCAGCACCAACCTATACTAAATCAAGCACAGATGATGGAGACAGAACCTGAAATAGTTTATCTGTTGTAACTGCCACTCCAGGAATTAAATCATGCTTTGACATTGAAACAAGACCCACTTGTTTCACAAAAGACTATGAAAAACAGATGTGAAATCATTAAATGAGAGACAAGAAAGAAAATCAATACTGCTATAAAGCGTCTTTAAAACAAAAGTTTTGCAACTAAATGTCGAACATATAATGTCATATCTAAACTATTTGCAAAAAATGTAATTAGCTTTTCTTGTAGTGATTCTGAAAAATACACACCTTGTAATGATTAATTTTTAAAACATGTAAATGAACCTTGCAAAAGAGAACACTTAGTAACACAAGACATGCACAGACACAGCCAAATCAAAAACTAAAGACAGCAGGCAGTAGGCAAGCAATTGGAAGATTTTAAAAAAGCCATTAAAAATCACAGTCCCACTAATTTCTCTTTATAAATATTAGACTTCAAAAAGAACTGGTGTCAAGGTATTTTTAATCACATTAAAGCAAGCTTTACTTAAAATATTTATAACAACATCAACTATAGAAACATTTATATTTAGACTGCCTTTTTTTTTTTTTTAATTTACTGCATTGATTAAAAAAAAGCCCAAATCCTTCCCCTCCAAGGAAGGAGGCTTTCAGTTAAAGCCATCTTTCCAGACATTATATGGGCTTTACATATGTACAAATAAAAACAGGTAAGGTTAAGTTTTGGCTCTGTTAACCTTGACAAGTCCCTTTGAAGTCCAGCTATCTGATTTGTAAACCTCTTTTTTTCTGAAGTGAAATCTTATTAAACAGGGCAAGTAGCTGTCTGCTTGCTGCAAGCAAGAAAGCAATGTCTCATTTATATTGCAATTAGACAGCGAAATCTAAACAAACATTGAATTATTGCTGCAGAGTGCATCTGAGTTATAATTTGTGTGAAAGGAACAGTGAGATAAAGCCAAAAGTGAATTGCAAGGCTTACGTTTTTCTTTTAGCCTTCTCCTATAAACTTCCTCTACGATGGTAAATGGTGGGAGTCAAATAAAGTATGTAGAAAAAGCACATATTAGATAAATTTTGCAATTTAATTAAAATATGCATTCTAGCATACTACAAATACATTGACATTATTTTTCAACTTTGAGAAGACCACCTAAAAATCTGATAAATCAGTAATTTTTTTGCAGAAAAATTATTACTGATGCATACTGTTTCCATTCAAATATAGTCTATGTGGTTTCCTTAAATGTAGCCTAAAGAAACTCTACAGGGTTTGATTCTTCTCCCACAGGGATCAAGGACAGTTTGACCCATCTTTAGCATGAACAGGAACAGACACACTACTAGAAGTTGAAAGTTGCTGAGCTCTTGATTTATTGTCATACCATTATCGTTCCTTTGAAATACATAAATTATTTGGGCATCTCATAGAAAATACAAAGTTCTATTAGTAGAAGAGTTCCTCTACAAAACACTGCTGTTAGACAAACTAATTTGCTAGTTAGACATGCAGTTTTCTACATGCACAAGCTCTGCAGCTGAGTGAAATCAGCACCACATATGTAAGTCACTTCTTTGGAATAAACAACAGCTGAAATATAGAGTCTTCTAGAAAAGACTCATCTGCATTAATTCCTGTAAGGAGATTCTTGGTAAGCCCTGAGAAAGAGGTAGCACAGCACCTGAAAAGTCACAAGCCTCAACACGGGCACTCTTTGGAAGCGTTAGTTAACACCCACAAAAGAAGTTAGTGCAGCTAAGCTGATGCACTGTGGTGAACTACACATAAATATTCCTGCATGGATAAGTGTCAGTATTATAGAAGAAAAAGGTCACTAATATCATATTGCTCACAGCCCAGCCATCAACAGAAGCTCCAGGGAGTCAATATTTCAGAGAACTGTGACATGACTGGTTGAGAACAACGGCTAAACAAACAGGTTTATTTGCCATTGACCTGCATCAACAGTGCAGATTTAAAACAGAAACCTGCCATATCATAGATTCATTGCACAGCCCAGGCTGGAAGGGACCTTGAAAGACCATCTGGTCCAACCTGTCATGGGAGAGCGAGCCTAAATGACATACAGGCCTAAAGACAGGAAAGACATGAATCAATGACTATGTTTTAGGATGTTTGGACATTTAAACATTATGCTTAGCTACTACTGTAACATTATTTTTTTCTTAAAAAATGTAAACTGTAAAGATTTTTCAAAGAAATTATGAAAGTATACACAAAAAACATATTCCCACTGAACTACAATGTCTCTTCCAAATTATAAATAAAATACCAGTAGAAAAAGTTTCAGTGCCCTTAGGATACCAATTGCAATTTCTGCTGCCTCTAGATTGAGATAGAATCGCACACGTTAAAGGGCTCTACCAGAAGAGAAAATAAATTTGCACCATTCTTCCTCCCAAAATATATTCTGTAAGTCCATTCTTGTATCTCCTTGTATTCCTTTGAAACACTGAGCCCAGCTGCTACCAAAGCAAAGTTAAAGTAGGGTTCTGGATTTTAATTTTATTTCTCCTCCTCTTACCTCTTTCTGCCACTTCACTATGTGATGAGGTCCTAGATAGCTGACTTTGTAAGCGTTCTATTTCTGAATCTTTGAGAGCTAACTGCTCTTGAAGCTGGGCTATCTCAGCCTGAAAGAGAGTACAACAAATTCAGAATAACATTGTCACCGATTCTCTGTGATTTCTTCCCCATGAACTACAAGACTCCTAACACTTTTACTTTGATTGATGTCCTGTTCTCAGTTGAGGACATTTCATAAACACTATAACAACCGTACATATTTCATGGTGTTCCTTTTACAGAAACTCACTTTTTCCAATGCAATTAACTCTTGGAGAAGAGAATCTTACAGAAAGGTACAGTTTTCAAGGAATCATGTAGGTGAAGAAACTCTGGAAAGCTCTCAATGCTCTAATGCTGGTCATATAACAATGACTATTACAGAGCAACTCCAGAGTTTTGCATGAAGACCACTAAAAGATAACACAGCACTTTTTAAAAAAGATACTGTTTTTTTATCCTAGTTACTACTTATTAATATAACTGAGAATCTATTAATGCTGGATAACAGAACTGTTCTACCTCATCAGATATTACAGCAAACAGGCTAGAAACAAAGCATGGCTTGGAAAACCACCACATATGCGCCACAAAATATCAGTGGTTCATTTACACTTACTGCAATTTGTGCTGCCACTAGATAGGGATAGAATATCACACATTAAAGACCTCAACAATATAGAGAAGAATTCTGTGACTGTCCAGTTTGAAATACAGTGACTCTCAGCTCTTTCCTGTTCATGAGAAAGCTGTCACCAGCACACTTTACTAAGATAGTCGCTTCATTAAGATTTTCTTCAGCAGCCTTAAAGCCTCTGTGTATCAGCAGTCTGCATTTTCCCCAGGAAAAGCAGACCAAACCTCCTTGCAGTTGAAGAAAAAAAAAAAAAAAAAAAGGAAACAAAACAAAACAAAGTCACTAGTGGGATCAGTTTCTCAAAATGCTAAAATAAAGCAAGAAAAAAAATGCAAAACACCAAACAGTGTTATCTAAACAGGGAAAAATATGGACTAATTTACTTTAATACACAAACTTATTTTCACCAGGAAGCAAGCAGCTGGATGGCAGCAAAAGATCACCGCTCTGCCTGCAGTTCCATATGGAATAGCAGAATCTGCCCTGTTGCATCTCTGACGGGCTCCTACACTTGCTTCCCAGTGACTAATATGCTTTTTATATCCAGCCATGGAAATATTCCAATTTCTCATCTAAGAAGCTGGAGCAACAGGCAGACAAAAGCTGCAGACCTCTTAACACCAGACTTGGATTTGCCTCCACTGGTCTATTTGATCTCACGGCTCTTTTAAATGCCCTCTTTTCCTTTAATGTCTCATTCCTGTCATCTCTACAATTATTCTTCTGCTTCCTCTCTCTTTCCCTGTACTTTTCTTCCTTTCTAGTCCTGCATCTTCTCTCACTCGTTGAGTTTTACAATTCTTCTTTCTTATTTTCATTTTGCTCCTACACTTTCCATAATGTTTATCTGTCTTGGCAGCTGGCCACACACTGCTTGAGAAAATATTTTCCCAAAAACCGTTCACATCCACCACGTCAGAGAAAACATTTTCATGGATACAAGAGCTATTGAGACACAATAGCAGCATTTCAATATTCATCCAAGAATTCTCAAAAGAAAGAAATGCTAATACAAATAATGGCTGCCTGTCATTTGGGGTTGAAGCTATCAAGTATTAAAAAGAAAACTCAGTTTAATAATTTTGAATGTTTTTCCAAGATCCAACTGCAACTCAAAAAAGTCAATCATTTGTACGAACACAGGTTATAGTACACAAATGAAAGGATGTGATTACAGCACAAAAGCGTACCTCAACGGGGAAAAGTAATAAGGTGCTTTTTACTTCAGTGGAAAAGGGCTAAAAATTCAAACTAGAAATAAAGTGCAACTGCTTAACAAAATTTAACTGTTCAACTAAAAAAATTAATTACTGGGGAAATGCTGAAATGTTTCAAATGTCGACTTTCTCCAAATTATGATCCAACAGCTTTCCAGGATTTAAGGTCAACCGAAGGGGAAGGCAGCTATGCGCTTTGATATGCACAAAGTCAAAGCAGATGATCTAATGGTGTATTTTGGGCTTAATGTCTATTAAAATAAATTGCACAGCAAGTGAACACCCAACCAACTTTGCACGTCTCCCCTCTTCAGTCTGGAAAGCATATTGCACAAAGGCTTGTCACCACCACACAAATAAAAGAAGCAAAAGACACAAAACCTTCAAAGAGGCCTTTCCTGAGAACAGGTCTTTTGTAGGTCAGAATCCAATTACAAAAAGGTGAAAGACTGGAAACTGCAAAGAGAGAGCAAAAGGCACAAAAAGAAGCTACAAAAACTTTCAACCAAAATACTTATTCCAAAGATGGCTGAAGAAAACTTGACTTCATAGTAGGCCCTGACACAAAGCAATTGTAAGAAAAGTAAATATTGATGAGAAGTGAAGCATATCCCTTTCCAGCTGAAATAAGTCTGTCGTTAGTAAATGCCAAGTATTTTGCTTACTTTAGTCGCTTTTAATTTCCATTCGTATTGATTTCTTTCATTTTCCAGTTCTTCCACTTTAATTTTGAGGTGTCTAAGTTCCTGTAGCAAACCCTGCAAAGGAAGAACAGCAGCTAAAAGTAAGATTTCTTTCGTAGATATTAATTTTTCATAGTTCTGCATTAAAGACCATGCACGAACCACACAGTAATGAACACTGAACCACCACATTAAAAACTGTGACCTAGTCTAAGACAACAAAAACTATTCTGAATTGAGAGATAAGGAATACTTTCCCCACTTGAAATTATGAACAAATTTCTTAGTCATATTAAGGAAGACAGCCGAGCCTGGTGAAGGTGTCTCTCTGAAAATGAGCCAAAAAATCCACTACTGCAGTCTCATATAGCGTTAACTACTGGGGCTTTGGGGGAGGGGGGGAGATTAGGTTCTTTTTTTTTTAGGTTTTTTGTTTTGTTTTGATTTTCAGCCACCTCAGAAAGTAAGCAGAAACACACAGTGCTAAAAGATCACTAACTTTCATTAAAGCAACAATCTTCCCCCCAAACAGGTGTTTAAGCTACTTAGCAAGAAAAATAACACTCAGACTAAATAGTATCTACCAAGGTACAGGCATTTAATACCATACTTACACCATCAAATATGGCTACACTACGCTACTTCAGTGTTGATGTTTGCCACTTTGCACACTGAGTTGATGCAGCCTAGAGCTACATTCTCTGTCTGTTGTTCCTCTGACAAACTTGTCTCCTAAATGTCCCTTCTCCCTTTCCTTGATAGAATCGTTACCTTATTGTTCATTCAGAAGGGCAATATTATTAAATCCTTGACTGAGCTCTTATGAGACCAAAGATTTGGAAGTATAACCCAATTTTGGAATCCTATATAGTATATATAACATTAAACAGCCATACCAAGATCTTGGATTAAATTAGTGTTTATTTTTAATGACTCCCAGATTTGACTCTCAGATTATTTCTCCAGTATGCAGTTTGTACTGTAGTCTAATAGTTCACTCATCAGTTCTGGACAGAGGCAAGCTCAGAGACAATAACACTATTGTCAAAATAGGCATCATACCCAAGTGAGTTATTTTTGTTAAATAAACCTATGAGAAAAATTACTGAAAAACAATATAACCAGATTACTTATAAAATGCGTTCTGGGGATCCAAATTTTAACCAGAGAGATGTGTCATCTAAAGCAAACTGATTTAAAAGCAAATATTAAGACAGACTTTTTCAGGCATACCAGTATCATTCCACCTTCAGTAAATTTAAGCAGTTTGTGCAAAGTAGCTTTTGTTTTGACATGTGACAGTTTCGATCAAATAGAACTAGGATCTGTAATGTAAATTCAAAAATGCTTTTCTGGTAACTGCTAATGTCAGAGAATAAACAAAAATGTGTTGGACTTGCTATTTTAAAGGTACAAGCAGATTATTTTTATTATGGCTCTTTCCATTCCCATTATCACTGGAAAAAACCCCAATACATTTCAGATAGTCTTACTTGAAACTGTATTTTATACCTGTGTTAAGCTTTTAAGATATTCAGGAATTAATAATCTGTGTTCAGAGGACTAGTTAGGGTCCACCACCATGCACAGCTAGGGTGACATTATTGTGAGGAAAATCAGCAAACTACCAAACCATGCCAGCATGCTGCATAACAAACAGACAAATCTCAACTAAGAAATAAAACCAAACCCCAAATAAAAAAAAGCCCACAGCACACCAGCACTACAGACTGACTGCAAAATGAAAATCATAAAAAAACCTGAAAGAGGTGATTGGGTCTTACAGATATCTGTGCTTTAGCAGACAGACATCAAAGGTCACCAAATTTGTCCCAATAAATGGGGGTTGGGAGTCTGGGGTGGGGTGGGGTTTTTTTTTGTAATTTTTATGACCATCTCACAGTCTTTGCTAATGAAAGCCACAAAGATTAATGCCAGTAGTTCACAACATAGCTCTGGTTAGAATTTAGTTCCTGCAAGAGTAGAGAAGAGAAGAGGCAATACACAGGCTTCTGCTTAAGGTGTACTTCTCGTACATCACACCGAGAACAATTCTTCTGGCTGAGAGTCTCTACCACTGATCTTGGACTAGATGGAGGACCATTAGGTGTCAAGTCTTGTTTCCTATCTTGAGACTTTCTTTCTTGGATTCTACTATTAATCTCCAGCTGCAGTCTACACATCTGCTCCTGTAGCTCACTGATCAGGTTCACTACCGACTGAAAACATGGGAAGAAAGGAAAAAAAAAGACACACAAAAAAGATATATGAGAAAGAAAATGATGCAAAGAAGGTATTTCTATAGTTTCAGCACAAACAAATAGATGAAGCGTATCAAAGGCAAAGTAAAAAAAAGACATGACAGTGAATGGGTATAAATCTGGAATATTGCACAAAGCTACAGTTTAAACAGAACAGAATCTATGTTCTAGACTATTCATGACAGCAATTCTAATGTGAAGATGAGAATTTGGGCCCTCATTTTTGGACACTTACACAGCCACACGAAGTCAGATATCAGGAAAAAATTGAACATATTTTAATATGCTGGATCAGAGGCACACTTTTGCTGAAATGGGACTTGATTACATTAATTTACACAGCCAAATCATCCACTAGGAAGAAATTCATGAGTGCTTAGTTGGGGCCATAACCTATTCTTTCACAATTTATATACAGAATTTACTAGTAAATTTTGTTTCCAGGTCTAGCCTGGATCAGAAAAATAACTCCATTACCTGTCTTGCTAGCTAGGCAGTATCTTGACATGGAGAAAGAGTGAAGCAACACACATAGGAGAAATAAAAGGATACCACAGAAGGAAAAGTAATGAATTTTAAGTGCACCGATTTGCTGGCCAGTTTGGATCAGTGATACGCACAAAAAAAATCCAGCTACAGAAAGGAAACCAAAGACAAATACTGGAATCTATATAACAATGCACTTAAATTCCCTAACTCAGTAGTGAATAGCGCTGGGTATTTTCTCAGCTATGACAAGTTTGGAGTGCCTTTCTCTCAATTTTCATGTACACTAACAACACGTTTTATGATGTCTAAATCTCAAATGGAATAAATTTGATGAGATTAATCCATCTCCCCAAGGAGTGAAAAAGATTTTAGTGGACAGAACAACAGATGACATAGCACAATTTTATTTTCTTCAGTACAACGCACAACAGTCCTCCTGTAATCTCAACTCTCTGGTGAACCAATACTCTCAAAGCTAGGGAACAGCTACTGCAAGGACAGGACACTGTTCCATCGAGCTAAGTATTTAACACAACTAATCTCAAACTACATCAACATCCACAGTTAACTTTAAACATTCACAAAGATTTCCTTTCAAAAGTGTATGTATCGGGTAAAAGAGTTTCACATCAATTAAGTATTTTTCTAGGGCACTGTGCTTAAGATGAAATTCAGAAAAGCGGTTGCATATGCTTCACTTTATATATGTTATTCTCAATCAGGATCATAATGTCTGATGCTCATCGTCCATCCAACAAACCTTTAATGCACATAAATGAGGATGAGTTCCATAAACAATCAAAAAATTTAGAACACTGGCCCCTAGCATAGCAGCTCCACAATAGCCAGTCTTTTATAGGCTGACATGTTTTGCCAGGGCTGCACAGGTTAAGAAAAGCTCCCCTAGGTGAAACCATATCCTTCATATGTTCAGTGGCTATATTAGCCACTCTGCAGCAACACAGTAGGACACTAGCGAGAAGAACATCCCGCTAGCTAACTCATCCTCTTATTGGAGCACTGCAAAGCAGAACACCCGTCCTACTCTCCACAACCCCTCTGTCTTCCATGCTTTGATTGTTTCTTTTTTTTATCACCATCTCCACAATGAGATACCTCACTGAGCAGTACCAGCTGGAGACTGGAATCGTTAAGACACGCATCCATCTCCCTTGCTTTGTTTTAAGCACCAAGGCTTTAGTCTGTGCTCGTCTTTGTCAGAGAACACTGTTAACTCCTACGAGGTTCAGAAGAACCACTGCTGAAACAAGATGCACAGACCTTCGAGCTCCAGTTGTGGCAACACGGGAGAGTTCAGAAACACTTCTGCTGCTGCCTTGTAATGCTCTTCTCTTTTGTCTCATGTTAAAAATGGAAATGGGAAACACACTGTGTCCCCACAGACTTCCCTCAGGGCAAACTTGAGAGTACAGAAATAGCAGAAAACCTTATCTCAGTGAAGGGTAAGAGGTCTACAGAGGAGAAACAGATGAACTCCAGCTGCAATATATGCCTTTACAGTTGTTTCTTGTTTCAAGGTAGAAAAGGCTTCTCATTTTTGAGATTCTTTCACAGCATCAAAATTTATTAACGCTAACATACTGTATCTTGAATTTATTCAGGTGAGACAACACACTAAACTCCCCAGTGGGAATCAGTGGCTCACTGACTCAAGTTTCTTTGAAACTGCAAGTAACTATGCACTTAACGTCCGATATCTAATTCGGAAGTGTCCACACAAGAGCCATAAAACACTTCCCAACAGCTTACAGCAAACTTCAGGTCCTCAGTATGAGAAAGTAAAAAACCACAAAACTTATCCCATGTTAAAAAAGAAAAAGTAGGAGAGAAGGGCTGTTAAGCAAGTTGAAAAGGACAATTACTTCTGCAGTCTCCTGATAGTGATAGAAAGTCTATGTTCAGGTAGAGCAAGAATCTGGGCTGTCATTAATCACTTGGTAAGAAAACACATTTCCAAAATTTCTAAGGCTTCTCAGGTAAGAGAAAAGCTACACAAACTCCCTCAGGTGAGATTTCAGAAACCTTCACAGCATCACTGTGGCAAAAGCAGAACATTATTCCACAAAAAAGGAATTAAAATTACAAAGCCAAGAGTGAGACAGTTATTCTCCTGCCCCTGTGTTACATACATAAATAAATGGCACTTTAAATTTAGCACGTGCTTTTGAAAAGCCAGAGACAAGTGGTATTCAATGTGAAATTAATACCTTTGGGAGGAGATCAGAGATGCCTGATAAACTCTTTGCTGCTAACTAAAACCAAAACTGGACCACAGCTGCACAAGATAAAGTGAAATGAATCTGACACATCAAAACTTGCTCATATTTAGAAGGATATCTTAATTTGCTTTGTTTCCCTCCAATTCAAGATGAGAAATAATTCTACAGACAAATTCTACGTGGCTGGAATGAGCTACTGTGAAATAAGCCAATGTAAAACTAAGAGTAGAGAGCAAACATGTAGCTGAATTATTCTGCAATGTCACATTTAATTTTAAACTTTTTAAAACCTGATGTTATGTTTTGAAACGGCAAGGTCAACCATGAAGTGTAATTAACAAGCTGTTTAAAATGGTTTAACTACTGGATGCCTTGTTAACACATGCAGTAGGGTGAAAAACGAGAACTATTACTTCAGAGAGCAACAAATCCATCAAATCGCTGTTCTGCTCACCTCTGTCCATCCTAAACTCTGCCTCAAAAGCAGCAATTGGCCAGCTGCAGTCTATAAGAAAGGCTTTAGCTCTGTCCCCCATAGCTTTGTTCCACTTATGTAAAAATACTAATTGCAATTTCATCTCAGGCATTATACACTGTAAGAGCATGTTGTAGTAGCTACGGCATTCAGAGATACAGTTACAGGAAGATTAATTTCAGTTGGTCACTGTCAGTTTGGAGACCTGTCTCACACTGAAGCAGTGAGGTTACCACAACACAACTGCGGATGCATAAACAAGAGCAAACTAAAGGTAGACTGTTTGCGTACGTAAGAGTGGTTTATTCACTAGAAAGATATAGATGGGCAGTGGAGGCAAGGAGTTCAGGAAGACACCCAGACTATTACCAAATTTAAGCAGCAGTTGTAGTCTAGCAGTATAAAGAAAATACATTACTAAATTTCATTCTGATGTTTGAAATTGTGCTTGTATTGAAAAATTACTAAAATTTACATTAAAAGGAGCTGAGATAGGGTTAAAGCATTAGAATTCAAGTAAGCATCCAATCTGATTGAAAGCAACCCCTGTTTATCTTGACAAACTCGATTAATGATTACTCAGGACAACCTGAAATAATTTAAAAAAATAGCTTAACAAGCAAACAAAAAACGCTGTTTATTTCCCACAGCTTTACTAACAACATTCATTTTCCTTGCTTTGTAAACACAAGTTTGTGACTTTCAACAAGCCAGAAATCTAATCACATCCTGGGGTAGTTAATAATTCAGGGCACGCTTAACACAACGATTCTCAACTTTTCCATCAGATTAGAATCCCTTTCCATCTCAGCAGGCACGTTTCCTATCAGTTAGCAATAGAACAAAGGCTTTCAGGCCAATAAAGCTCAACTTTTCCATCCAAGGGGGCCAGACACCTTGTTGCAGTGGCAGAATTTCACAGGTCATAGCCTCACCCTCATCACAGACCCAGAACTTCCGGGTACTTAAAGGTCCTGTCAATGCAAATGCATTCAAAAGTTCTGCTGCTTTCCAGGAGTCAGGCTGACTGTGCACGCCCTGCAATAATTTAGGCAGGCTCGTCCTGGTTTTCAACGTGTAATGGGAAGTGCTGAGGCCTCTCAGGAAGGCGGCTGCTGGGAGCAGGCTGCCATCTGTAGCAATCAGGCGCTGCACAGACCTGTTTAGATTTTCAGGTAGTATGAGGCTGCTTAGGCCTTCTGTACACAAGGCACTGACAATTATGGGTGAAAGAGCACGAGAAAGCCACAGATGATAAAAACAGCAGCTGGTACCTCTCAGGCTTGCAACTTCTGCCAGAAATTGCTTTCTTTAAGCTATCTTTTAATCTCTAAAGAAAACTTCAGAGGATAAATAAGTCAAAAACCAAACACACCCCAAATGTATTACATCACTGCAGGTAAACTACTTATGCGTAGTTATCAAATATTCCACTAGCAACATTATGGAGAGCAAACACTGCCTAGATTTCAAATTCTGCTTATTCTAACATGAAATGGATGTTGTTCATACAAGTCTCTGTTTCACATTCTCTTTCTTAACCAATATGGTAAAAAGCGATACTTCTTTGATATCCAGAACTCTCCACATCTGAAGGGGAGTAAGGATTAGAATTGCCTCCAAGGCATGTCATTTTTTTTTGCACTATTTATTATACAACCACAAGGGGAAAGGCTCATTTGAGAAAAATGCCCTGCCCCTTGTCTTTCCCTCCCAAGTGCCATGAATGCGTTAAAATCACCAAGGGTGACCATTTAAGTGTTTGTAGCATCCCTGATAATACCGAGCTGACAGTCTTCTCTGCCACATAAACGAGGAAACAGAAGAGCTCTGTCAGGCCTCACATGGCCATGCCAGTCCAGCTCCTGTGGAAAGGAAAGGGTTAAGTGAACACCAATTGTAATATATGCTTCTGGAAGGGACTTTGTGCCTTGATTAAAGCCAAACAGCAACCTCTGAAGTATAATGAGAGAGCATGAAAGAAGCCACATCCCAAAAATGCATAATCATATTCCTCACTGAATTCACAGGCTCAATGATGCAGACTGTGCTGTGAGCGTGGAAAATCCTATTGCATGCTGATTTCAGCTCAAACACTCAGGTGTATGACAGCATACCATAGACACGCAACAGCAAAAAAAGAAAACAAGCTAATGAAAGAAACTTACCTCAGCTTTATTCTGTTTCTCTTCGTATTCGCTCTGTTCCTTTTCCATACCAACCAGCTTAATCTTCAGGTCTGAAACTTCAGCCATTAGATCCAATTTCTGAGTCTCTAGTGATGTTCGACTTAGCAACTCCTGAAAGCAAAGCGAACATTTTCTCCAGTTATTTATTTGAATATTGACAGAATGCTACATGATTTATTGTCAGACCCATAGAAAAGCCTCTATCCCAGTGCTGAATGCTTTCAATATGGAAGCAAAATGATTCTCTTCTTCACACCTGCTACTGCTTTACAATGCAAAAAAACAAAGCAAGATAGAGTTGATGTAAGCATTTACTACAGGCAGAAAAAGTAACTAAAAAGAGAAAAATGGCGTGATTGGCAAATTCATATGAAAACAAATTTCTCTACCTCTCTTCATGGTGTGTATACTTAGAGCTGTTCAAACCGTGTTTCTCAAGTTCTGCAGCTATTTTCACCTAAATGTTCTCCCGTGTTAATCGCTAAATCACTGTGTCCTCCTCTCTGTTTCGAGAAAATGTGTGGCAGAGTTAATCCTCAGGCAAGATATGACATCAGAAAACAATACTAACAAACAAAAATCTACATAATGCCACATGACACACTGCAAAACAGTTGGCTGCTTCCTAAAACACTCATCAGACAAAGCTACATTTTAATATTACAGTGAAATGTTTTAGAACTTCTTATTGTGCGCTACTCAATAAAGCAAGTATTACAGAATGTGCACCCTAACCAAAATACAGTACCAAAGACAAGCAACATTTCTGCAGTCATGCCAGTAGTACTTCAAAGTTTACAACATGCAGTTACCGGTTAACTTTTGAAAGCTACACACTGTGGAGGGAACAGCGGTGAATGAAAAGTGGTATGCCCTAACTGGAAACAAAAAGGCAATGTCTAAACTGAGTAACAGTGTAAAGGAGAAACAATTGTCCATGACTGTTGCTTGTGTGCCCGGAATTTGGTTTTCTGATTGCAGAAAAAGGCATACTTTGGACAGAGCGGTATCACTGTGTTTGGAAAACATTCAATATTCACACCTTCATTGCATCTTTCAGTTTTCAAGAAAGGCAATGGAAAAAATCTTCCAAAATTTAAGAGAGTGTATTATATACAAAATGCTTCTGTTGGCCTCCATTTTCAAAGAGAAAAAAAGATCCATTCAGGAGTTCAAGCCTTACTGAAAAAGCAATACCTAACTTTCCAAGTGCTTACTTGATTTTTGCAAAAGAATGTAGGTTTCTAAACAGATTAAAAAAATTATGCTAATTCATAACTCATATTAGTGTTTTTATCATGTGAAACACTGAGGAATCACAGCAGATTCTGTTTTGAATTACATTGAAGTAACTTAACTGAATTTGCCATAGTTATTCTGGATCTATGCTGATGTTACCGAGCAATCAGAAACTGGCCCATCCCTCACCTCTCATCTCTTCCGCTTCCACAAACTGTACAGTACATTGTAGACCATGGCTTGGAGCCAAGGAAGCCACAAAGGTTATTTAAAAAATTATACAGCTAAAGTTTATGTGGAACCCAAATGTGCTCTACATGTAAATTTTTTTAGTCTGGTGGGGAATACTGCCCAAATTAAAAATAGTACTAAACTTGGATGTGCCTTGCAACAGCAA